ACAGCTCAGAGCGATACTGCACACGCTCAGGATTCGTAGACTGATATTCATATCTGTTAAAACAAGGTCGTAATTATGAAGAAAGTGCGTAATATTTTGTGATATTTTTTAAATTGGTGAGTTTGTTATTCACACTGTATTTGCATATCATACTTTAAGGTTCAAAATTTTTTTTATATTAATTATACATAAATACTCATATATAATAACCCATAATAATAAATCAAAATAACTTTAAAAGAACATAAGAAATCAGTTGATAATACTTCGGTTTGGTTTCATTATTTATAGGATGAAAAGAATATAGTGACACACACACACAATGTAAAAAATGCTCTAGTGTTATACAAAGGAATGGACGAAGTACAAACGGGGACTCCATACACATTTAAAAACGAAACATGAAACAAAATGGTTAAAGAGGAAAGAATCTAATTGCGTTGAGGATACAAATTTTAGCACGCTTTCTAAGCCGAAGTCATCAGGGATTTTAGATTATTTTGAAAAAAAAAAAAAGATAATTCGGATGAAATTATTGAACAAAATTACGTTCCAGGTTTAATGACAGTGCAATTGATGCATTGTTATTTTTAAGATCACATTTCAAAAATTTGTACTAGTATCACATACTGAATAACGATATTTACAATTTTTTGTGATTGAAAGAAATAAGGTGTTCCTTTACTTTTTTTTGTGTGTGTGTTTTTTATATACTGTTATAATTCATAAGTTACAAATTATTTTTTATGATGTTCACACTCTAATAAAACTGGCAAGTATAAAACAAAGAAACACCTGCGTTTTCATGCTTTTTCTAAAATGTCTAATACTTGTATTAAAACCGGTATCCCGGTATTAAGATCTAAAAATACCGAATACCGGTATTGAACTTTTGGTCCAATATTGCAATCCCAAGGCGTAACGGAGAATATTAGGGCCACTGCAATGTCAGGTTTGTGGCCCCCATTCCCAAATAGGTACTTGGCATCGGTCGGTGTTTGGGCCCCTTAGAATCCCTGGACCCCCTCCCCGCAATGCGAGGATATACGATACGCCATTGAGTGAATGTATATTAACATCGCACTATAAAGTAACACCAGGGATATTGATGCTTCACTTTGTAATTTTAAACCTCAGTCCAGAGAAGAGCCACCCCACTTTCCAAACTACCCCGCCACGGCAATGGGAAGACTTTCAGCTTCGACAGATTTAACGTTTATTAGCTCCTCTACACATGAGGTCTTTAGTTTGACCAAGACTAGAACCTTGGACACGATGGCCTCGTGTTTGTGAACATAATCCTTAGGCTACCGCAGAGACGTGAAATCTGTTGAAGATGAAAATCCTCACCATGATGTGGTATGAAAAATAAAAGAATGTATTTCATTTCAAGTGAAAGCTGCATTAGTCAAATGCTCAAGTTTGTCAACTCGTGAATGGCATTGAAGATTCGCGAGCTCAAAATCTATGAAGTCCCGTTTCGTAGAGGGACTAAGGCACGTTAAATCTATCAATGCTCAAATTTCTCCTACAGGCATGGTGTGGAAGTTTGGAGAGGAGGTGCCAGGGATAAGGTGTCATCCTCGTCAATGATCTTGGTTCAAATTTACGTGGTCGCCAATAAACCTCGTGTTGCTTCAGAACGGGATGTAAATTAAAATAATCAAAATATATATTTAAAATGTCATCTTCGTCACTTGGCAGATGTTTATTTTTACAAGATATTTCGAAAATATCCCTCATACTGCTCCTGATGCTGTATTTATAAGAAACAGTCAATCATTCTTTCCCCTATTAGGAAATAGAAGCATTGTACCAAGATCAGAATATATAACTAACAATAGAACTAACATTTCAAACCCCAACATTGTTAACCCACGCTCGTATTAATTCACTCGGTCAGAAAATGACCAATTCCTGAAAACCGACATAACTGAATTGAGTGCGTGAAGGTGTTCACGTTGATTTAATTTGTGATATGGAAAGTCTAAATTTAGATTTAGTCATCATTCAGTAAAGTAATTTAGTTTCCACTTTCCTTCAATTCTGTTAAGTTCAGAATTATAGTGTCCCTAGTCAAGGGCTTGGGGATAAAATTCGAGGCTTTCTTTTGTTACAACTCATAAGCTGAGGGTTGATAATATAATTTGTTAAATGAAAACAGCTATTGAACTATTATTCTGTTAGAATTTTATAAATAGTTTAGTCTGTTATATGCTCATAAATGTCGATCACGTATAACAAACAACGTAATAATATAATATTCTTTAAATTAAAATTTCTAGGGTACATTATGGATGTTTTGAAAAAAAGTTGACTACCTCAGTGTATTGATAAAACAAATTATTAGCTGTGTGCACAAGTTTCTTGTTATGTTTTTTTTTTTTTAATTTCTTTCATTAAGGCTAATATTCTAGATTTGTAAATCAAACTCATAGATATTAAAGCTATCTCTCATTATTTAAATAGCCATATTTTCTTAGAGCCATATGGGAATAATGAGTTTGAAAAGTGATACAAACAATCTTTATAATTCTTCATATTTTCATAGCTATTTGTGTATTTGGATGCGCAAACATTAGAAATAAATGCAGGTGTACTGGAAAAAAGGAAAACAAAATATTGATAATAAAGTAAAAACATGCTTAAAAATGAAAGAAATAAAACTTATCACAAATAATACCTTACAACGCTTCTTGAGAGGCATTTTATTGCACTAGCATTTTGATACGTTATTTTAATGTAGTATCTAACTTTATATTTTGATATTGATTTAATTTGATTTGTTTGATTTTCTTTTTCTTTTATTTAATTATTGATTATTATGATTAGATTATATAGATTTTTGATTTTGATTTTTTTAAATTTGATTTTGGATTATTTTGTTTTATTTTAGTTTATTTTTGATTGTTTTTATTTCAGCTTGATTTTTAAATTATTTGGATTTTTTATTATTTTGATTTTTATTTGATTTTATTTATTTTGATGTGATTATTATTTTAAATTTTTTGAAATGCATATAACTCAATAAAAACTAGTTAATAACGTATTAAACTTTTAATTTAACCGGACAAATTTAATCGTAGGATATATTGTTTGATTTAGTATTTTATTATCATTATTTTTAGTAGTTATATTTTTTCATTATCTATATGTGTGGAAAATAAATATAAATATGTAAAATAATAATAAATATGTAAAAAACAACTGAGGGAAAAAATTATTTGAAAAATTGTCATAATACAATGTCTAATTTATATTTAGTATTTTAGTTTTCAGTATTAAGAATTCAATAAAAATAGAAAAAGATGTATCAGTGCACGTAAAAATGCTGACTTACAACTAAACTCTCTTCACAAACCAGGAATGTCGAAAACGTTTTACTCTTCAATAATCGTGTTCTTAAAGCAGCTCAATAAATAAAAAATGTAATTTTCAAAATAACTAACTATACAACGTTTGATGTACTTAAAAGAAGTACAAAATAACCCTTTAATAAAAGCATACAACCTGAGAATCATTACGAGATGCCGAATGCATTTCCAACAGAAATTACCAGAACTCTCGAGATTAAAGTACTTTATCCATCCACATTACCTATCAAAAACGAAAAGGAAAAACTTTCCCGTATCACCACAGAGAGTAATAAAACTTTTCTCTGTGGGTAAATATTAAGAAGTAGAGACCTCAGTAAGTAGCAGGTCGCCTGCAAAAAACTAACGTAGAATCCCTCACATTTTCCTTCTAGGCCTATTACGTGCACCTTAACTATGCCACTCGTTGAATAAAATCTCTTTTTACGGTTAACCTTACATTTGCTATTCTGCAACAAAAGCCGAGACCTGGCAATCGATTTGCATACCGAGGAACCCGAAAGCCAACATCACAATTCACCAGTGCTATTTTAGATGGACTGCTGTAATTACTGGGATAGTGCGTGTCAGACTCTATAAGCATTTTAGTATGGCTAGCCTTTTCGCTTGAATGGTCTACCTCCACTTACATGTCACTTCCCTGTTTGCCTATGTGTTTGTTTTCTACCTCGTAAATTAACGTTTATTGTGGCTAAAGCTTTTACGTATATCCTTGACCCAAAGAAAGACTAATCTAACTCAGTCATGAAGAATGTATGTTTTTTAAAAGTTTTAATTCGGGAATACAAAAGTTATTTTTTGCTTATCCACGCTATTAATAAGAAACGAATCTGTAAGTAGGTATTTAATTATTTATATGGTATCGTTTCTGTCAGAAACATCTGGACTGGAATATTAATTTGTATGAGCTTCACGTGTGTTTTCTAAGATAATTTTCTGCACAGTGTTTTCTTTTTTTTTGTAAGTGTGTTCATATTGATTCGAGGATATATATGTGTGAAAATGTGATGATTATACTGAAGTAAAAATAAAAAAAATAAAAAAGAAATATAATATTGATTGTTTTGAAATGTGTTTATGACATATATGTTAAATATTTCTTAATACTTATATATATCAAGAAACACTTAATTTTTCTAAGAAATAACTATACATATAATTTTAATCCTAGGAAACACTTTTTTATATACTAAACATAGATCAATTTCAGTATTATAAGAAAAAATAGAATACTGATGTACTGTAAAATCCGGTGTATAAAAGACACTTTTAAAAAAGAATAAGGTTAAAATTTACGGGTGCGCGTTATACGCTGGTTAAAAAATAATAGCTATAAAAATAAAAACAAGTAATATAAAAAAAAAGTGAATTCCTACTTAGGTCAACAAAGAAAAATTTATTTTAGTTACTTTTTATTAAATGGTTACAATTAATATAAACATGTATATACATATTACAGAATCATAACATTAAGTGACAAAATCGAAAGCGATTTTCCATTATCCTTTCTATATATGGTGTCGGACTATTTTTTTGTTTGTTACTCTATTTATATTCATTAATTAAATTTCATTATTCTTATTAAATATTACAGTAAGAAAAAAGTAACACTCTCAGAAATTAGGCCATCCCAGGTGGAATTAGAACCCACGACCTTTGGATTAGAAGTCCAATGCACTATCCTTTGCATTACAGGGACACAAGGAAATACTTTCCTTTTTATATATGCTGTTAGACTATTATTTAAGTTTGTTACTATTTATTCATTTTTTAATT